AGGAAAGGGCCTGCTGTGCTCTTTAAAACAGGAGTAAAGCGTTTAAACATAATGTGTCCGACGTTCATTCTTCAACATTCAGAGACTCTTTTAGGAGGAGTTTCACAGATACCTTCCCCCTGCTCAGGAGTTCAGATACCAAAAGATCCCCATAAAAACCATAAAGCTTGTTTACACCTAGAATTGCCTTACATACATGTCCTTCTCTGGATGTTTTAGAACACTGTAACACTGTTTTGCATATTAAGGTGTAATACACACCACTAAAACTGTCTCAGTTAACATTTTGATTAGACAACATCTTGTCTCTGGAATTTAATAACCTGCATTAAAAAACACTCCAAACTGAAGCCAGCCTTTACTAGGCCACAACTCTTTGTGGACAGTTGTAGTTTGATGGCTATTCAGCTTCACAATTGAAATTCTATCAGTTGCAGCTCCTCAGTCAACATCTGAAAGGCACTGCCCCCAGCCTCCTAGTTCAGAACAGGCATATGCCTTCAGCACCGAGCATCACCAGTTGGACAGCTTTAAAAATTTGAGCGTCAGAAAATTCATTGTCACTGCAACGGATGGAAGACAGCAGGTGCTGATTCCAGTTACTGCCACTGTCCTGAATTTAAAGTCACTGACATTTCCACATGCATTCAGACTCCTGATGCTGGTGTTAGACCTTCTCTTCTCTGACAGAAATCCAAGTGTATGGCAAGAAAAGTAGAAACAAAACGAATGTCCATTTTCCACCTTCCTTCCTTAATGTCACAAATCATAAGGCTGCATTTGCCTAACCAAGCTGTCTCAACAAAACTGAAAGGAAATATCTCTGGAAAAAAGCCCATACCCCCTGGTCTTGACCATGTTCTTAGAAGGTAACAGAATGGCTGTTGATTTCACACACACACACAGATTTTCTTGTAATAAACATATCTATAGACACACAATTTTATGTACCTGAATTATTCATTATTCTTTTGCAAATTCTCACACAGCATCTTGCAAAATTTATTGCTGGGAATGCTGGCTATACTACAGTACTTAAGATCAAGTATAAGATAATATTGGGATCTTTCCATATAAAAATGTCCATTGGAAAAAAAAAGTTATGAAAGTACAAATTTCTGAAAACCTTTAATAGAGGACCTGTAACTGAAGACAGAGAACAGTAGATTAATTACTACAAAATTTCTAACCACATAAGCTCAGAAAAAAAAAAAAAATCTTATCAGTACTTTTAACAAAATAGAGGTAGACAGTAACAATGTATCCTGCACTAAAACAACATAAGACTTAGACACACTCGGCAACTAATTTTTTCACAGTATATTTAACAGAAAATATGATTTTGTTTGCATAATAAAAATTGTGATGACTCTCTACAAATACAGTATTTTTTTTTAAATTATGTAAAGAATGGAAGAATATTCTTAACAAGTTTTTAGTTTGTGCACATACTCATCCCTTTAACCTATAATTTTGTAAGATCTTTATAAATCACAGCTGACTTAAGAAATGATGCTGACCAGACCTCCTTCAGAGAAAAGCTTCAGTAATATTAACAGGATTTCAGGCTACATTGAAACCCTCTACACTGTCATGCAGCATCACCGCATATTAATTCCCAGGGTGTCTTAGCCTATACTAGACTAGAAATTCTAAAGAGGATTCTATTTTGTCTCCACATCAGGGAAAAAATGACAAATTCCTATGTACTGAACAGTGTTTCCTTAGACAAAAAGAAGTGGCACTTGCAAAGGTAACCTGGAATGGCAAAAATTTATTTTAAAATCTTCTGTTAAACTTTACAGTTAGATAAAACCTGATCAGCGCTCTCATTCCCTCACACTCAACACAAAGCCTACTGTAACTTTTTTCCAAACCTTGAAAAAGAAATTCATTCCAGGCTTTGACCAAAGAATTCATCAGGCAACTGGACAGCTAAAAAGAGTAAGCTTGTTACCTTATCTAAAAGCCGGTACAGAAGGCTTAAAAAATCATTAGAAATACTTGAGCATTCAAATACACATTCTCTCTTTGAAATACTCTACAAGTAAAGGTCTACCAACAAATTACCTTGTCTAGTTCTGGCTTCCTCTCTACTAACACTACCAGGCTGGATAAAACTAACCAGCTGGCTTTTAAAACTGTGGTTGAAACAACTTTAGACCTTCCTTAAGCATACATACAGAGATTATCAAAGACTTCCGCCCCTTCACATTTTGCTTTTACGGTGTATTTCAACTGGAATACCATTCAGTGTCAGCCAAGGTGTGTGGAATGTAAAATAAAGAGGCAATTTTAGGGCTTCTATGAAGACAAAGAGGACTTCATCCTTCAGAGAACAAGTATTTTCCACAGCTAGTTTTATTCTCAATTACACCATAATCAAGTGTTGGCAATTACTGTCTTAAAAGCTACGAAAGCAGGATTTAAACCCAGCAACAAATTTAGGATCAACTCTACATTCAGTTACAAGTCACTATCCTATAGAGACATTCTCTAGAATGCTTAATATTAGCAAGTTTCACTATACATACTCAAGGTATGCTCTATTTCATATATCAGTGAAATTTTGTCTAAGGGACTCATCAATAAATGAAGATATTTATATACTTAATGGAACCATAATTTTTGTTTTCACTGGTATCAATTACTATCAGAAGAAAACGCTTGTTTCTCAGTATATAAAAGTGATGGCAAATGTGAACAGGAAGAATTAAACACACAAGTGCATGGTATTAAGTGCATGGCTTAAGTAGGGTTTTGTTTGGGGTATTTTTTCATATCATTTTAAAGTGCTTTGTGTGATCCACCATCAAAACATGCTTGGATAAAGACAGATGCTAGCACAGTTGATATCACAGGAATACAAAAATAAAGCATTCACACTGCTGCTTTGACTTGAATATTTCAAAAAAAAAAAAAAAGAAGCAAAGGCCCATATATTTAAACACAGATTAGAAATGTTTCTACATCTCTTACATACAACCAAAGAACACGTTACACTCCAGTTATTAGAACCAGCCTGTTCTTATACAGTTTACAAAGTGACAAAGCCCACAGTAAAGCTATTGCTTTACTTTCATAATGTAAACACATCTCAAAGAAGAATATGCTAACAGTTTCAGAGATGAGATGACTTAAATCTGTAAAACCGAAGCAACTGGGCATATCAACGTTTTGTCTCTATGAGGTTTAGCTCACAAGCTCAGGCTGTACATTTATTCTTCGAAGGACATCTTCTGGCATACAAAAGACAGGATTGACAGCCTTAATTTGTTCTTCTCCTAATAAAGACAGTCCAGCAATTCCAAATAAGGTGTGAAATGGATCCACCTGGGAGAAGAGAGAAAGTTTGTGTCCATTTCCAAAAGTCAATCAGCTTTTCGTTTGTATAGAATGAAGCTTTTGTTTGCTAGCAAGGGAACTGCAAACGTTCATGGATGGAGAAGACAATGCAACTGAACAAACTTTGATTTTTGCTGATATGTTGACAGGCAAGACAATTTCCACAACATGCATTTACAATACTATGATTTACTCAGATGCTTGTAGATTGTCTGCTCCTAAGACGATTTTCAACTCTGAATCTGGTAGGAAGCACTCACATGTCTCCATTAGCATGCAATGTCATAGGGTAGCAGAAGCAAAGACAATAAATTTTAAAAGTAAAATCAATCATCTACAAGTACCACTTCCATAAATTCCCCATTTACTCTTCAGCAACATTCTAATGCTCCTTAATGGCCTGTCAATACAGAGCTGTGCTGTACAATCTTGAGAGGGGAGCAACAACCTACTGTGATAGAAAACTCAAAGGAAAAAATACAAGGAAGAAAAAACCCAGACGAGACAGGAGCAGTTATTTGGTCTCCATTGGTATCCAGTATTATTTGGTATTCCTTCACTATATGAACCTTCGCTAAAAGCATGCATCACCACATGCAATAGACTATGAAGTCTCATGATATAAGCATCCTGTCAGTGGAGTTAATCAGCCATTCTACAAAATCCTATCCAAAAGGACCAGTGCTGTCTGGGCAGCGCACATCCTGTTTGCATGACTGGAACTTCTGGATCTTATCACAAAGGTTCTATACTGCAGTAAACTCGGCTGAGTTACCACCTCGTAGCCATATAGAATCATTATGGTTGGAAGAGACCTCAAAGATCATCAAATCCAACCGTAAAACCAATATGCAGTATCTCCAGTCGTTATTCACAGCCTAGAAGGTTCAAACTACACTAGCATAGCAAGTCTTGCTCCTCGATGGTTTGGGAACCGCATTACAGGTGTGGTCAAAGCTCAGACAGATGTTTACTTGCTCCTTCCCTGAATGAGTATGTGGCCATTAGAGGAGGGGTAAAATAAATAAGTACGTAGCAAAATAATAATAATAAACAGTACACTTTAGGAATGGCAAGACAGAATTTCCTTCTACAGATGGACAGGCCCAGAAGGGGAGTCGGTCCCCAATGGAAAGTGTGCAAATGAAGTTACAGATTCAACATCTTGATGAACAGTATGCATGTTCAGGGAAACCCAGATTCCTAGAAGATGTATCTACTGCTATGTTGTCTGCTCTTTTCTGCAATTTTATTTGAAGCAAATAAAAAAGGAAAAAACTGCTGAATTACAACTAAGAGCTAATAAGCACAGCTACTAAGTTAAGTTATCGAGAACTAGCTGCTTGGAACTTAAAAAAAGATGACAGAGCTGTCATTGTCAACTGGTTCAAAACCTGAAATACAATCACGATGTCAAATCAAAAGACTAGAACCTAAAACAAATTAAAAATCCCCACAGCAACCAAAAAACCCAACCCCCCTCCAAACCCTCCACCTCAAAACCCCAGACCAACAAACAAAAAACCCCACAAAAATGAAAAACAAACAAACAAACAAACCAACCACAAAAAACAAAAAACCCAACCCCACAACAAAAAATACTCAAAACCCAAAACCCAACAGGGTCTGTTAGGAATCAGTTTCTGCAGGAACAAAGCAAAAACCTGTAGGCGTCAACATTTGTATGGCAGTGCTAACTTCAACAATGAATGACAGGTAAAAATAATATGAAATGACCACTAACATAATATGCAAACACTCCCCCAAAGGTGCCTGCATTAGATATAGAGGAAAGGCTCTGCAAAGTTGCTCTTCTGGGAAGACAAAAACAGTTCAATAGCTCAAGTTTAATCTTGAAGCTAGAAAAGCATTAAGACTTTAAGTGTTAGGCTTTTCTTGTTCTGAAAAGGGAAAAAGTCTTTCTGTGAGCTCCTTAGAAATACAAAACCCTTCCCATTTTAAGAACACCAAAACACTTTCCAAACGACAGACCAGAGTAAAGAGATCTCTCCTACTCCTCCAAGTGGGAATAATGTATCAGCTTGCAAAGAAATAGAAAGCTACTTCAGTTTTTAATGCATTTGTGGACAAAGGAGAAAACATGGTCAGCTGCAATAAAAATAGCTAAGATTTCCCCCAACCGTTGACAAATAAGCAGCCAAGTCTTCTACAGGAATTGCACTGAGGTCTCGTAATACTTTTAACTTCATCTGTCCAGCACCCTTGAAAGATATGAACTTTATTTGTCATTTGTCCTGGACAAGCTCAATTATTTCCACTTGAAACCAGACAGAACAGACCAGCTAAACCATAGCTGCGCTCTCAACCAAGCAGTAAACCAATACCACCAGCCTCTTAATAATGTTATCACAAAAGCTGCTTCCTTCCTCATCTAGACAAATGCCAGTGGGGGATTTATTCAGTGGCTGGGCTGGCACAGAACAAAAGTTGGCATATAAGGATTGTTAATAAAAACTTATGACTCATTTAGATCAAGCAAAACCCTCAAGAGAGTTGAAGATGACTTAACCTGCGCTTGCATATCATTTTACAAAACAAAACAAACCCCACAAAAACCCACACATCCCCCCAAAAAAACCACCACCAAACAGTATTTTTACAGAGATCTTCCAAGTGGTCTTGTCAGAAACGATTTGTGTGGTATGTGTTATGGGAACCAAACTAGAATTCCTAAGGAATGGCAACTGACTTCAGAGGGGGATGCTACAGCGCAAGCGCAATATAAAATACGTGCTCCCCAAGTAAGCTTCTAAAAGCAACTCTACTCTATTCTTTCCTTCAAGGTAAACTGCAGGCTCTGCAAAACACTTACATCTGGGTCATGAGTTACGCTCAAATAAGAAAACTTACTTTTTCAGTTGAAATTTTCAATTAAGTATATTTTACTTAGTAAAGGATTATTTACCATATCTCCTGGTCTGTCAGCAAATCCTCCAGTCTCCTCATCCTGGCAAGCCAAAATAAAGCAGCGCAGTTTCTCTCTGTCAATCCAATGTAACCTACCAATCATCTTCAAAGATGCTAGCACCCACCATGAATAACATACATCAGGTAACTGGCAAGCAGAGAAGCAGATTATTATTTGATTTTGTTTTAAACATGACATTGCAAATCCTATTGGTGATTCTGCAAATTACTAGCTGTGCTGTCATAATACTGTTGCAGAGGAACAACACTTAAAGAGTTTGTTTGAGGTAAAATAGAAGAAAGTTCCTGGATGCCATCTCTTTTCAGAGGACTTTCCTTTTTCCAGAAGGGAAAGTCTCTTTTCAAATCTCTTCCCTTCTTCAACAAAACCACAAGAATGTGATTTTGAAACAGCCTTCCCCTTCTGTGAGACAGGCTAAAAAAAACACAGCACCTTTTTCAGGAGTAAGTACAAAGAACTTCCTATCAACCAGTTTCTTCTTTTTTTTTTTTTAAAAAAAAAATTGTTGATTGATTACCTATTTGCCAATGGTGATTATTCTAGGTTACACTATTTCCCAGTGTGATGTGGAACACTATTACACCCAGTAAAACAGTAATTTTTGTACGAATCCTACAAAAGAGGTCATTCCCAATGTCAGAAAAGTATTCAGGTTCTGATTTAACAGGACACTGGTTCAAGTGGTGAGCAAGACTTCCTTCAGTATCTGTATTTTCCTAAACTGATGACTCAAACTAAGCATAGCTAAGGACTGAATGACAAGCGTTAGTGACAAAAATGAAGAATTAAAATGAAGGTCTGACTCCTTGGAAAGGTTTACTAAATAGTTCATAGAACTCATGAGATTTTCCAGAAGTACTTCAGGTTTAAATAAAATAATCTCTATAGAGGTTTGAACAAACAAACGAAGGCACCTAATACCTTCTCCGGTCGTCCGTTGAGACCTCCAGAAGGTAACTGACGTTCACAAAGCCACCAACCCAGCAAGTCAACATTTATTTGATGCAACTGGTCTGTTATAGCCAGAAATCCTGTGCAACAATATATCTAAAATTACAGACATAGATTTTTTGTGTATTTAAAAACTAGGTATAGTTTAGCAGACTAAATGCAGGAAGATCTCAAAGCAGGAATACAGTCATGCAAACACAATACAAAATAAGCATACATTTCAACTTTTAGTTTCAAATGAGTTTTACTTTTCCATTAAAAAAGTACGCTATTGTTACAGTTGCTTTTGTATAAAAATACCAAGTGACACAATGTAATTACAGAATAGTAAGATTTTACTAATAGAAGACAATGCAAGGTTTGGAAAAAGATCCTAAAAGATCAGGCAGAGCCATACAGACTCTCGAGCCAGAATACTCAAACGAATTTCTGCAGGCTGGATATGGCCTTTATGAACATTTTGCATCCAGCCTATGGTTTGTTCCTGTATGTGCCTCTTACCCTAAGGCTTGTGGAGAGCAAACTGAAGACCAAATGGCTTGTCTAGCAGAAACAGGTTAACCCTGATCGTTAACTGTCCTGTCAATCCCACATATATCTAGTCATGTCAGGCTTACTTTCAATGTGCCATGTAATATATGTGCATTGATTAATCCCTGTTTATTTTATCCTGGGAAATAACATTTACAGTGCAACAGCAGAGTCTGGTCACATTTCATGCAGTCACTAAAAAAGCAGCCAAGCACAAACTGCAAGAAACCACAATATCAACTGAAGCCTGCTCATAATCGCCTTTTCCTAATAAAACATACCCCCAAAAAGACAACAAAAACCCCAACAAAAGCCAACATCAACAGGGATGTGCCTATCCAAGAATACTGCAAAATAAATGTGATATTCCTAGAAAACTTCTGAACTACTCTACAGGCAAAGTTGTTGCCCTTTACAGCATTTTAAGGAGTACATGAATATGCACAACAGACCTAATCCTCCCTGGAAATGCCAGCTGCAAACAGAGCGGGTTCAAGATACTTAAGCTGACTTCCTTGAACACTAGAACACCGTCCAGCCATTTAGACCATATGGGCAATGCTACTGTAGATAAAACTGATAAGATAAGGTACATGTACCAGGTTTAATCTTTCCTCCCCCCCGCCCCCGATTTAAAAAAAAGAAGCAGGGGGTAGGGTCAGCGAAATCCAACGCTTATTCTCAACAAAATGCCTCTAGTATTTCCAGGTGCTGAGGTGAATCCTGCCTATGGCATTGCTCACTAGAATTATGCAAAATAAATAGGTGATTGCAACAGCATTCAAATATTTTCTTAAAAGTTGATTTCTATTTATAAGTTCAGGTTAAGTCCAATAATCCCTTCCATGAAAAAAAATAAAAACAGGAAAGGTAGTTTTTATGTAAATTTTTTGCTGGAAGAAGTCATTGAGATTCTCTTCCTTGAGAGATCCCTTAATTTGTTTCCATTACACTACTGCCTTCTCTTCTCAGCTAGATTTTACTGAGCATTTCTCAGAATTCACTGTCACTAGTAAAACACTCTTTAGTGCCTACAACAAAACAAGATAAATGTTCCCATGCCTGAGCTAGGCATCTCATCTTAAAAATGACCTTCCTCAAAAAATTAAGCAAGCCTTCCCTTGAGAATGTGCATGTCTCATTTTTGTTTTGAATTCATCAGCTGGTAAATATCAGACATATTATACAATCGACCTTTATGTTTCATTATGATTTGTGGCAGACACAGTGATAGATCTTGTCCAATGTCTCCGTTTAAACCCATTTCAAATTCTCTAAAAATCCTCATGCCAACTATTCCGACGTCACTATGTGAAGACTGAAATACAGTCCTGAAAGTTGTTCCCTTATGATCTTTTTTTTTTATCCCAGACTATAACCTCCCAAGTCTCTACTCATCTTCTCAAATTTATCTACCTGTTTGTTCATTTACTTTAACTAAGGTACTAGAATCAGGCATTTGTGAAACAAGAAAGGTACATCAACTGACATCACTGATAAATGCTGTAAAGAAATATTTATAGGCAATATGTGATGCTTGGTAATTTAAAACATTTCCATATAAAGAAAAACTCACCTGTCCTGCATGTGATTCGGAACCCGGTCTACAACCAAATCCTCCATCAAAGTTCATACAGGATAAAACGAATTCTACTGCTTTCCCCACATCAATAGCATCGAGCTTTCCCTGTAAGTCAGAAAAGCAACTAACGTACTTTATATTCTACCAAGCTCACTAACTACAGAAAGTTCAGCTGTACCAAAGAGAAGATTCTAGGTCTAACGATTTAGGACTTACCAGAAGTGCAAGTGTTGCGGCAGCACAGAAGGAGAACCTCGTATCTATTTCTCCTGGAATGTGCAGGGTAGGGAATGAAATAATAGTATTTTTATTAACGACAACAAAACCGCATTTAAATCACCACTGAAAATATGAAACTAAATGTTAGATTAATAGATTTTACACTGAACAACAAAAGTCAGCCAAAACCTGCCCCTGTCCTGTTTCCTCTTCCAGTCCATGAATTATTTTCGCAGTAATTTAGAAAGTGTACATTACAACTCAAGTGATCCATATATCTACTGCACATAAAAGTGAACAACTCATTTTGAGCTGGTGTATACTCAGATATATATCAAAATCAATTCAACTAGTGGTAATTTACAAATAACTATATAATTTTAGAGTTTATCTGTAGTGGTCTACTAGATAACTGCAGAGCAGTGGACTCAAAAAAACTTGGACGCAACTCTTGATCTGCCTTAAATCTGAGCAGAAGTAGAAGCTATTTTTGCTTTTAGAGGAAGACTGATGAAAGTTGCAAGTTTTCTTTTGCATTCTTACACCTGGAAACTAAACCAAAACCGCTGTATCTAGGGCAGAACGATTGCTCGGCAAGTCCATACCAATATAACTCTCCTAGCACAAACTCTGAGCAATTAGTACTTGAAGTCATACTTTAAAATTGAATCCAGACACAAACATTCATTTTTGGGGTCCAACTGATGCAAGACTTTTCTTCTTAAAAAACCCACAAGCTTAAACATACAAAACAAACATGTGCTGTTCTACACTACATCAGGTATCATGCTCCTTCAGTTGCGCTGTAACTGCCTTTCAGAAATAATGTAAATCCATTGTGCATTCAGTACATTTGTTTCAATACTTCAAAAAAAAAAAAAAAAAACAAAAAAAAGGATGTAGCAAACTGTGAACCATTTTAACACATAGCATAACAGCTGCCTTTACAGCAGCATACATACACTGCCATGATCTTGCTTGTTGAGTTTTGCCAGAACAGTAACGTGAGTGATATGCAATAGATTTTAATAACATTTAAGCATTCCATAGGGATAAGTATTTTTAGAGTGACTAAATATTTATGCTACAGCTTAAAAATACTATCTTTGTTCATAAAGAATTTATGTGCAGACACAAAATCAGTATTAATAGAACTTCATGAGTACAAACCCAGTTTTTCCGATTCCCGTATAGTGAAAGATCCTTTCACAGCTGACATGGATAAAGATCATAAGCGACTGCCTTTAAATAGCCATCATAAAACACTCCCTGTGGAATAGCAAATCTGATATGCCAAAGTACTATAAAGTTACTAATACCCTAAAGTTTCCTTCTTTAAGAGCTGGACAATTTCTTTTTAATACAAGAATGGAACTGAAGTTTAGAATATTTATGAAAGGAATGAAACACAACTCTGGCCTTCACGAAACCTCCTTTTTCATAACTCAGAAAATAAAAGTGTTCACATACAATACATAAGCAAAAAGACCATCCAAGGAGACTTAAGTTCAAAGACTTACACGTCAACCTAGTCACTAAATTTTAAAGATCTAAAAATTACCCCATTTGTCTCCAGCAAATGATCCATCTTCTTTTTGTAAGTTCTGTATATATTCAACAATTTTATTTACATCAACAACATGGAGACTATCATATAAGATAAGAATCTGGAAAAAAAAGACACAGTAACAATCAAAGAGAGGCAAAAACTTTTAATATTTATTTCTCAAAAAAAAGTCCTGGATTTATAAAAGACTTTATTTAATTGACTATGAATATTATTTGGTAAGGTTTATTAAAATAAAATTTCATTTGCTGCAGTTCATCTATCTCTGTTTAAAAACTTCTTAAGAAATTCTCAAATTAAAATATAGGCAACTCAAGTTGAACTCTTTCATGCTTCGTTACTTTCCAACTTTCAGCTCTCCTTTCAAAAGCATAATCAGGTCTATTTGGTTTTATGTTAGCACTGTGTAGAACAGAGATTTGATTATGGTTAATTTTTGCACTACTGCTACTTGGACCTGTGCAAGGGTAAATCAAGCAGCTACTTACTAATAGCACTTACAATCCAAGCCTGTCAGCAATGATTACTTTCGAATTGCAAGACTTTTATTTACATTCAATTTTTAAATATGAGTAGAACCAAATTGCAATAATTTAAGAAAAAGTTTGAACAATATGATTAGACACAAACTGTACAGTCAATATATTCTGGAAGAAAAATAAAGGTCATAGCAGGGAATACAAAGTTTTCTGGGCTAGCACTGACTTGAACCAGTGAAAACAACAATACTGTTTCTGAGCCCCAGCTGGCTTTGTGTTTTTACTTATAACTTGCATAAACTGTAAAGGGAGTAATTAGGATTTTATTATAAATAGCATACTAGAAAAAACAGTTGAAACTAAGCAATATTACAGTACCAAACCTGAAAAATACCAACTATGAGTTTGAACACCTAGAGTTGGCTGGAATCTTTCAATTGTTAGATAAAATTTAAGTTTTATGGAAATGCAAAAAAAAAAAAATAAAAATGTACAACTCCAACAGAAAATATATAATCATAACATGCTCCTTAAAAAGCAAATCTGAACAAATTACTATTAATTGCGATCAAAGGAAGATGTGACATGACCCTTCAATCATTCCGGGTATGTAGATAGGACTAAACGGTGTGTTCACTAAGAACATGCATGCTCATTAAGACATGCTGGCTAAGTTTACCACAAAAATTTTACATCAGCACGTGCTAACACTATTCAACTCTGCACATTTACAGCTGCATTCAGTTAATATGAAAACATCTCCCGGTAACATCAAGTATTTATTTAAGAACTAACATCTCTAATAAGTAAAGGCAAACAACCTCAAATTGTACCTCCTTCTCCTTACACTGGATTAGAATTTGTGAAAGGAGTTTGACTGGACAGTGTGGAAAAGCTCAAACCTCATAGCCTAAAGAAACTTTAGTTTCCTGGTTCTCAGAGTACTCACAGTAATTCTAAAGCTAAAGTGGTGATAAATATCAACTTTAGAGCAGATAATACATGCCAACACTTGTCACTGATCCAGGAAAGCAGCATTTTTCTGTCCCGCCCAAGGGTTTCAAATCCAACACCTTAAATCCAGAACACTTTCTTCCTAAAACAGGAGGCTATCTTATTGACTTGTAACACCATTTAAATGTTTCTTCCATAAGATTGGACTAGAGATACATTATGCAAGAAATCAAGCAATTGTTCAGAAGCGTTTGAGCCTTTTTGGTATTTTTTTTCCCACAACAGTTTGCATGAGAAGGAGAACAAAAAAACAAGAAACAAACAAAAAAACCACAAGAGATAGTGAGAAACTAATCTATAATGGAGATAGTTATGGTGAAAAAATAAGATTGAGAATTACTTTTCCTGAGGGGAAGAGTACACACCAAATAAATAAACAAAATGCTCAAGTGACTAGTCTAATTTTTAAGTCATACACAAAAAAAAAAAAAAGCAGATTTGAGGAACACAAGAACTGAGTACTACAATGTTTCTTTTGTACAGTACTGAAGTGTAAACACACTATACAAAATTATAGATATTACATACGGTTTATATAAATATTAATTATTCATTAATGTTATAATATATAGCAATCATAATATAAGTAATATATACACCAAAAAATAAAATCCAAAGCTTTACTCTTATTATGGGCATACTTATCTTTCACCTCAATGTACACTAAGAATAATTTATAAAATCCAAAATGATCTACAAAAAACTCCAGTAAAACCTACAGCTAAGCAGTATTTCAAGAAGATGGTTACAAAATTTATCAAGAATGCAGTCACCATTAAATGATCATTAAAAGCACAACGTTCCCAAATCTGACTTCTTTTAGGAAATGATACAGCTAAATCCTAAATTTTTGTCCATTAGTTGTTGTTGTTTTTTTGGTATTGTGGATTTTTTTGGGGGTTTTTTTTGGTTTGGTTTTTTTTTTTTTTTTTTTTAATAAGGCACTGAAATAGTTTTCGCCAGTGGCATCGCACAGTACCTGGTTCATAAATCTGCAATCATCAAAATCATTAATTACAAATGTTTTTTTTTACTAAAATTACCCTGTTACATTTACCTGGACAGCACTGAGGGTATACAGAAGATGAGGATCATGACCTGTGCTGGCACTTATTCCACCACATTCATGTTGACATGATTTGATGAATGCCAGAATTTCTTCTTTGTTCATTCGGTGCAGCTGCCCCATGAGATCCATTGCTGTCAGCCCCCAGTAAACACCACTCATCCTCAAATACTCCGACATACAGTATTCCTAAGTAGTGCATTATTTTAGTTCTTAGTCAGAAAAGCACATCGTCAATATAGAGCAATGAAAATATATCAGTTAACATTTACAAACAGTTTGTAATACGTCAGCCAAATTCCATCCCATTAACAACTTGCTATGTATGCACCACTCGCAAATCATCAGTTACCATTTTGGCATCCAAACTACCACCCAAATCACCACCTCAACTAGTCTCAAAAATAACAAGTCTGACATTCAATGAAACTTACTTCCAAGTGCCAAAACTGCCACAATGTAAAGTTGCACCAGGAAGTGAAATTTCATATTGAGTTCTCTTACATTCGTTACATCACCTACGCTACCCATAAACATTAGTTTCTACATGCGGTACTTTTTAAGCACAAGAACAACAATCATAAGCAATAGCGAACAGTAAAGGCAACTGCAACTTTTCTCTTCTTCAGACATAAGCAGTTGTTGACATCTTTCACCTGCTGGAACTGGAATCCTATTGTCACGGGCTACATCTGCTGACCTATAAAACTGATGCTAGTTAAAGTGTTTATCAAACCCAGTAAGCGTGAAGCACTGCTGTGGTGAGAGTCAGTATGCTGTTCCATCACAAGAGCAACGTGTAACTGCAGCTATACTCCTTGTGCATTCTAACAGATGAAGAAGCAACAAGTAGTTCATTTCTCAGGTCTCAGAGTAATTCTAGAGCTAAATTGATAATCTCCAAATTTATACTCAGATAACACAGGCCAAAACTCATCACAGACCTAGGGAAATTAACAAAGACATCCTTCTTTCATACTTTGGATTGCAGGGCAATTTATTACTGTTAATAAAACCACAGCTGTACTGAAACAAATCGATACCTACATAATCATCTTTCTTTGTTCCATATGAAGCTATGTAGTCCGCGTGTTTCTCCGAAAGTAGCGTGCTTGGGGCATCAAGTTTTATTACAACATCCTTCTGCGGTGTCGCCTGTAAAAAGTACCAACAAAACGTTCGTTGTGTCGTCAGTTCAAGAGGCTCAGGCACCTAAGCACAATTTAGTCAACCCTCGTGACCGCAACCGTTCGGAAACGGACATCTCTCTGCCCGTTTTGGTCACGGCGCAGATTTCGTATCTCGCACCGTCACTGTTCAGCCTGGCTAAATCCTTCCCCGGGAAAGGCTGCGAAGGAAAGCTTTCAATAAAGCTGAGCAAGGCCACCGACTCGGCAGAGACAAACTGAAAAGCCAGGAGCAGGAGCCCTTCACCAGCCGCCCGAAGGCCCCGCCCGGACGCAGAC